GTCTGCTGACGTCGCCCAGCTGGTCCAGGCTGGGAAAAGATCCCAAACTTCAATATAATTTGTTGATTTATTTTTCCTTACCATCCTTGCCAAGTATTTTCTTGCTTTATTTCCCCATTGATATCTTTCTTTTAACACCAAAATTAAAGGCCCTTTTTGTCTCCTGTTCTATTAGGCTACTTAAATCTTTTTTCTTTAATATTATCTTCTGTTGTATTACAGTCTGTATTTTTTTAATGTATTGGCTCTAATTCAAATAATTCCTCTATTACTGTTTTTATCTTCCCGTAGTTGTTTTTTTTTTTTCTGCCCCTATGGAGATTAGGGTAACTCTTATATACGCCTTGTGGGCTTCCCAAACCATACCAGTCAAAACTTCTTCCATTTTATTTAGTTGAAAGTATTGCTCTATTTCTTTTTTTATTTTTACTTCCATCTCCTGATCTTGTATGAGAGTTTCATTTAATTTCCATGCACACATTTTAGTTTGTTCATTCCCCACTTTCAACCTCATTGTAACCGATGCATGATCTGACAGCGATGTGACTTCTATATTGGATTTAATCAATGACTCCAATAGTCTATGTTTTATCATTATATAATCCAATCTAGAGTATGTCGCATGTACAGAGGAATAGAATGTATAGTCCTTTACACCTACGTGTTTTATTCTCCATATACCAATTGGTATTGATGTAGTTTCCTTTTAATTTGTTTTAAACGTCTACCTCCTTCCGTCTGTACATGTGATAATGAATCCAACCTAGATCCATACAAAAGTTGAAATCCCCTGCCACAATCAGTTTTACCTTTCTTAAAATCCATCAATTTCCTTAACGTATCCTCTAAATACATGATTGAATTCCTATTTGGACTATTATTCCTACTCCTTTTCTCCCAATCCACCTTAGCATAGATCTTAATGTGATACATCTGACCCAACCGGGAACTACTGGACAAATATTATTGTTTTCCCTCCCGACTCCTCTCCCAGTCCCCCCTCTACCCCCCCCTAAAAAAAAAAGCTGTGGCTCATCTGTAGCCTTCAGATCTGTAGTGAGACACTTCCCCTCCTCGATCCTTTTAATTGGGGTAAGGCTCTGTCTATGTACGCCTCCATTTATCCCGCCTATGCTATACCTTTCAAACAATGCCATCTCTCTTTCTCCCTCACCATCCTCCCTCCCCCCACTCCAAGTCTCCAACCACTCCCATATTGTACATGGGCAGAAGGGTTGAGGAGAAAGCGAGGTATAATAGAGAAAAAAACAAAACAAAAAAAAAAAAAACAAAAAGAAGAGGAGACCCCAATTGTAACTTTCAATTACGTTCCCATTCAACTACCTCTATTACTGTATTTCGCTCTCCATAAGATGCACCTGACCAAAAAAAAAGCAACTAGGTTTTAGAGGCGGAAAACAAAAACAAAAAAAATATTCTGAACCAATAGACTGCAGACACAGCGCAGGAGATGACCAGAGAGTGCGGACACAGCGCAGGAGATGACCAGAGAGTGCGGACACAGCGCAGGAGATGACCAGAGAGTGCGGACACAGCGCAGGAGATGACCAGAGAGTGCGGACACAGCGCAGGAGATGACCAGAGAGTGCGGACACAGCGCAGGAGATGACCAGAGAGTGCGGACACAGCGCACGAGATGACCAGAGACTGCGGACACAGCGCACGAGATGACCAGAGATGGCCAGAGACTGCGGACACAGCGCACGAGATGGCCAGAGACTGCGGACACAGCGCACGAGATGGCCAGAGACTGCGGACACAGCGCACGAGATGGCCAAAGAGAGACTGCGGACACAGCGCACGAGATGGCCAGAGACTGCGGACATAGTACAGATGACCAGAGACTGCGGACATAGTACAGATGACCAGAGACTGCGGACATAGTACAGATGACCAGAGACTGCGGACATAGTACAGATGACCAGAGACTGTGGACATAGTACAGGGAAAATACCAGGGACATAGTACAGATGACCAGAGACTGCAGACCTTTGGGGAGGGAGGGGGAGCGGATACCTGAATTTCCACAGAGTTGTCCTTCCCTCTTCTTCCTGCGCCGGCTTCTGTGACAGCCGGGTGCCCACTGCACATGCGCGAGAAGCGCTGCGCTTGTGAATGGCCTGGCGCCTTCTGGGACCTGTCATGTGTCCCAGAAGACACCGGACCATTCACAAAGCGCAGCGCTTCTCGCGCATGCGCAGTGGGCACCCGGGCTGTCACAGAAGCTGGCGCGGGAAAACAGCACAGCGCTGGAGCGAGGAACAGGTAAGGTCCTTCAGGAGAGAAGAGCTGATCGGCCGGCCCAATATTCTGACTTGGTGGCGGCAGAAATACCAGACCGGCCACTTTATATTCGCTCCATAAGACGCACTGACGTCCGGCCCCCCCCCCCCCCCCCCCCTATATTTTTTTCGGGGGGGGGGGGGGGGGGGGGGAGTGCATCTTATGGAGCGAAAAATACGGTAAGTTATTTAGTCTCTCAAGAATGTTATCTTCTTCCGTTCTTTGAGTCTCTATTTCTGTCTCTCTTTCTGGAAATTAATAACCATCTCTCTTCCTCTAGTCCTCTCTTTACCTATATCTCGTAGGTCCATCCTGAGATTTCTGGTATTTGCGAGTCTAATCTTCCACAAAAGTCCTGGAGCTCATATGGAAACTTGAATCAGGCTGATTGACCGTCTTTCCATCCCATTAAACATGCTGGGAAACCACAGCTGTATCGAATATTTTTTTTCTGCATCTGTTCCAGCAATGGTTTCACAACTCTCCTTGCTAACGTTTCCGGTGCTATATCTGCATATATCTGCAAGGTCGCTCCTTCATATTTCATTGAGGGAATTCCTTTCATTTTCTCCCAAATCTTAATTTTGTCTTGATATTAGTGGAATCTTACGATCACATCTCTTGGCATTTCTATGGTCATTCCTTGGGATCTTCTTATCCTGTGAACACTGTCCATTGCTCTGTTATAGGTTTAATATTAAATGTAATACCTTATTTATTACAGTTCTTAAATCTTCTCCTTGGGATGTCTTGGTAACCCCCGGATCCTCAGATTATTCCTTCTATTTTGATTGTCCTGGTCTTCTAGCTTATATAACCGTTTCCTCTGTTCAATTCGCATCTCCTCCATTTGCCCCTTTAATTCCGATATAACTTGTGCACATTTATCCAATTTTTTCTTCCGTTTCTTCCACTCGGGCCAAAACCTGTCCTAAATCCTTATGTAGTATTGCCATATCCTTCTTTATTGAGAGTTCTAACTTCGCAAACATATCTGCTATTTCAATCTTTGTCGGTATTTGTGAGCGATTTGTTCTTCTCTGTTTCTTTTCTCTACACATACTGTGTTTGATCTTTCTTTACCTGGATTCTGATCCATAATTTCTGACAGTCCAGATTGATCTCCGCTAATAATTTCCGCATCCTGTCTTCCATTAGATTTCCATTGTCTCTCCGGGGATAAACCTCCTGGGCTTTTCTCCTGTGGGGGCATATATTTTTTAATTTTACCTATACTAGTTTTGGGTGTCTTTACCCCTCTTCCTTTCGCCACTCAGATCTTCATAGTTTTTTCTATTTCCCCCTTTTCGTCTCCACCTTCTTTATGGACTTTAAATATACGCTTAGTCCTCTAATTTTCAATAAGAGGTTAGATAGATGTGTTGAGGAGATAAATACTTATATACGTACAGAAATACAGGTATAAAAGAACTTCTGCTTCTACCTTCAATATCGACCCCTGTGGGACCTGTATTGTTTTTGCCTCTCTTCCTTCTAGAGGCTTAATACTCAGTTTGTTTCACATATCCACATTCCTAAATAATTATTCCCAGTCTTCCGACTTTCTCCCCTTAAGTACCCTTATTTTTTGATCCGTTGAATAACTCCTGTGTCACTTTCCACTATAAACTCCTAACTCCTAAACTGCTTCCACCAGCCACTTTTTTTTTTTCCTTCCTTCTTGGTAAGCAGCAATATTTTTAAAACTGACTTATACTGTTATTTATAATGTAGTTTATAATGTTTAATTGTGGGCACTCACCATTCCCTAGCATATGGTTGTTCAGTCTTTTTTCTTTCCCCTCTTTCTTCACCCCACACAACTTCAGTGTCCATATGCAGTAAATCTTCAGTTTAGAGGTGACCAAGGGTATTTATCGAATCCTCTTCTCTCCTCTTTCCACTCCTCTCCCAGGACCCCGCTTGGCTGTTCTCATAGGTTGCTCTCATAGGACCTCTTGCTGCATCCCATGCAGGGGGGCTAGTTACCTCCACAAAGATCCGCTGCACTCTAATCGGCACCATGTGCTCGGCAGCCCAGGCGTCCTCAGCCTGCCACTCCCAGCTCCGCCCCGCTCTCACCTCTCCTATTGGCCGACTCGCAGCCGCCTCCTTCACCAGCAAAGCAGCCAGGCAGAGCCAACTGCAAAATTGCTCCTGCAGCCACTACCCCTTCACACCGGGTTCCGCCTCCTCTCCGTTCCACCTAGTAGTTTCCGCTCTCCAGCTATAATGCCAAGCCGCAGGGGTCCCAGCAGACACACGCTCCTCCAGCACTGCTCCCCAGTTCAGAAGGAGCTAGACAAAGGGAGCCAGATGAAGGTATCTCTCTTTCACTCTCTCCAGCTGTTGCTGGAGCTCCTAACACACACCAGCCGGCCCCATGTTCAGGCCAGGATCCCGACTTGAAAGTCAGGATCCATCCTAGAGTCTGGAGCGGCACCTGGCTCAGCCTCAGTGAAGTGCTGAGAGCCTGAGCCAGCCGGTCCCTCCCCCTCCACAGCCGAGCTCTCCAGTAAGCGCTGGGGGAGGCAGACAGCGGTGTTCTCACCTTAGAGCTCACGGGGAACAGAAGCAGTGGGTTCGATGCTGTACCCACCCAAGTATAAATGGGGCAGGGGGTTGGAGTCATACTATTTCTAGTACGTCTACTGCAACACTGAAGAAGGGACACACACAAGATAAAAAAGGTTTACCTTCTTGAAATACAAGTTTCCCAGAAGCATCGGATGTATAGCAGCCAATATATTCCTGGATGTCTGTATGCTCATGATTATTAATCCTTACACAATGGTTCCCACTAGCGCAAGCCAGCCAGCGAATTAAACTTGTTTTGCCAACAGATGTTTCTCCTTGAAGAAGTACTGGATGATTTCTTAAACAAAAAAAAAAAAAAAAAAGTGATCACATCAGCCCTGATACACAAAGCAGCACTTGCCAATTAGGCTGTGTGCAGCTAAATTAAAGTCTGATTTTAGCTAATTACAGTGTACAATACAACATGTGTGCCATATTTACTGTTAGCAAAGGAAGATTGCACAATTAGGACATTTAAAGGGATAGTTCACCTTCACCAAAGAACTGCCTATGCAGTTAAGGGGCGTCTGTGGATAAACAAAAAAACTGTGCGTCTCTGACTAAAGTTGAATAATGCCCTTGCTATAGGTGTAAGCCATTTACGTAGCTAATGAAGCCAGACTGGAATACTTCCAGGACGTTGCCAAGTGAGGACTAGTCATTTACTGCTCACCCCCCCCACCATCACGAGTGAGCTTATTCTCTGATTCAGACCCCTTCACATGTTCTCTCCCTCCCCTGATGTAGTAGCTCTGATCTCAGCGACTGAGAGCTCACTTCTGAGAAGGTTGAAGATGATCAGTGATGACCAGGCCTCACTTAGCAACATCCTGGGAGAATTTGTGTCAGGCTTCATGAGGTACGTAATTGGCCTACACCTATAGCAAGGGCATTATTCAACTTAAGTTAGAGCTGCACAGTTTATTTTTGTTTTTATCTACATACATCCCTTATCTGCACAGGCAGTTTTCTGTTAAAGGTGAACTATCCCTTTAGGAAGCAGCTTTTTGCCTGCCTAAAACCATCGTAAGCCATAGCAATTTTAAGATATACTATTCAGAGAGGCATGGGATGAAACCTAAAGTTCAGTGCCATTAGTAATATTTCAGTATATACATGTATAAAACAAAATGAAATGTTGAGACATACCCTGCAGAGACAACTCTAACAAGATCTCGGAGATTGAGCTTTACGGAGGGTGTTAAGATATAACTTTCATCTATAGCTGGGTTCTTAGCCCCAACAGGAATCCAGTAGCCTTCTATCTGAACAAAGCGTCCTCCATGTGGCTCAGGGAGAGGCTGTGAAGAAAAAATTACATAGAGTTACTCTTTCAAAAGACCAACATTTAATTTGCAATGCTAAACACACGTGAATAAAAAGACTATTATAAAATATCCTGAAACTGGGTACAAAATATATTAGGAAAAAAAAAATGTTTAATTTAAATATGACCCTTTATCCAAACACCATCATCTGATTACTTGGTTTTAAAAATTGAACATACATATTGTAATAAGCCTGGAAAAAAGGAAAACTGCAAGACCATAAAATAATATGTAAATATATGTAGAATATAATCAGACACCAAACCATTTAGCTGTAAGCTTTAAGATTCCATTACAAGAATAAGGTACCTGCTTCAGAAGGCTTTTAATGTTGCCAGACTGTACAATATGCCGGCATATCAAGCTTTGGACTGTTGAGTGAGATGCTCGGTCAAGCTGTGTAAGGAAGGAGAGGCAAAATCCCTAAAATAAAACAAAGGATCCAGTCAAAAAGAAATAAAATCAATTACAAACTAATGTTACGAATGATAAAATATGAATAATCCCAACTAAAGAACACCAATTACAAAGATCCAGTCAGATGTTAGAAAACACTGGAGTATGTAAACCCAACATAAAAAAACATAAGGCCAACCCAATTACTGAACGACAAAAAAATGTGTGTACCTGTCCCTTTGGATAATTATGAATGACATTTCATTATCAGCTCTCGAAAGCTGTGTACTAACCATCAGATTATTGGAAGGCTGTTTGGAAAGCGTTATTTTTCATCTGATTTTCTTATCATGTGTACTAGGCATAACTATGCCAAAGCAAGATAATTTTTTAGGGTCAGTTTTGGAAACGCACAATATAGGACTGAAAAAAAACCCACGTACCAACCAATTTTTTGTGTTTAGTGTGCATTCAGATGCCTTCAGCAGTTGCTACTGGGACAGTTTTCATAAACCTTTATGATTTTTGCATAGCTGTAACCTAGAAAGTTTGTTGGACAAGCATGCGCAATTCTCCCTGTGGAATGTTATGGATTTTTTTAAAATTATGCCACAATGACCCAAAGCACACGTCAAAAAGCACCCAGAAATGGTTTAAGACAAAGCGCTAGAAAGTACTGAACTGGCCAGCAGATCTCAATCTAGACTAGATGCAAAATGTTCTTCCAGCTCTTCCTTCTTAGGATCGCTTACTTTGCCAGCTTTTTGCTGACCTGTTTTAACTTTGAGACATCTTGCTGCCATCAATTTCAAAAGTATTTTTTTTCTTAAAACGGTACATTTTCCCAGTTTACATGTTTTCTATTTTTTATTGGGAATATGGGATTAAGAGATTTGCATATTATTGCATTCTGTTTTTTTTATGTGTTTTACACCAAGTCCCAACTTTTTTGAAATTGGGGTTGTTTACTGCAACTAAACAATAACAGCAAATGGCATGTTTACCTCATATAAAGAACGCTGGATGCTGCTACATGGATTTGAAGCTGCGTATCTCAGAGCTCTGCACAGAGTACGTAAACTATAGTGAGGTCTGTGGCCTGTACCATCCACAAGCTCCATATTGTCCTTCTTTCGTACTGCCAAGTAAAAGCTTAAAAGAAGTGGGAAAAAAAATTAGCACTGCAATAACATGAACAGCCCATTTAAAAAGGGGTGAAATATGCCAAAAAAAAAAAAAAAAAAAAAAGTGTTCCATATTAGATACATTAAAATAAGTATGGCCAAAGCTTTTTTTTAGCCATACTTTCCCTGGGGATCAAAGAACTGCACTTCGTTCTTCAGTCCTGTGTCCCAGATTCAGCAAAAAAGAAAGGGTAAAGCATGCTGTCCACTGAAATTGCAGATCCGGTCCAGGGTCAGCAGGGATCTTGACAAAGTCAAAATCCACCCAGATGCCTTACCAGCAGCTGGCTCGGCCTTTCAGCAGGCCGCTGAAAGCCCGAGCCAGCAGCTCCTGCCCCCTGCACAACCTGGCACACCAGTGAGACCTGGAGGGGCAGAGCAGAGAGGAAGTGACTGACAATCACTGGCTCCCCTGCTCACTAAAGACGGAGAACTAAGCAATCAGAGGTCTTTATTCCCCCAGTTCTCAGCGGAGAGCTGGCGGGGGACAAATCTCTAGGTGAGTAAGTAGGTTTGTTTTTTTTGTACACCCATACTTCTCTAGTAACATGACTAGTAAAGTACAAAAAATTCAGATAAAAGGCTATGCATGAAATGCCGTAAACACAGCTTGCTTTTATCTACAGATGTCACCCCAGTTACAGAAAATTGGATTTTTTACTTGCCTGTAAAGTTCAATTTTTGAAATACAGTACAGGACATAGGCAAATTCAGAGTCAACTGGGTTATATAGGCAGGTAGCCAGGGGATTGGATATTAGAGCAAGCCAAAAAAAAAAAAAAAAAAACCATATACACACACCCCAAAAATTCAGGGTGCACTTGGCCAAAAACCAAAACGGACAGTTTTGGGTTTTTTTGGAGAAGGGTGGAAAGAGGATGGGATTGTTTAGAGAGGCAATGAGATATCCTAAGACCATGAAAAAAGTCTACAGATTAACACTTCCCTCTGACCTGTCGTAAAACAATGACAAAATCCATCTGTCCTGTCACAGGACATGTAGGGCATTAGGAACATGTAGTGTGCCATAAAACAAAGCAGTGAGGTGTAGGTGACATCTCTGAGACCTCTGCCCAATTCACAAACAAAATCCACACACAATTCATCAAATCCAACAGGACCAAGATACATTAATATTAAGTATTGTTATTTTCTAGGGGACTACTCCACCTTCAATGTCCCCTATTCCTTTCTTCGTTCCTTTTCGTCATTCCATTTTCTGGACATCTGGTATATGACCAGTAGACTATAGAGTCCCGTCTTAAGCATACTATTAATGTACTTGCACATCATAGAGGTTGATGTTGGTCTCATCTCCCTTTACCTAGTTAATTGGGACCTAGGTATCTCGCCTATGAAGACTGTATTAATCATCTTATTGGAAGTTATGTCATCATGAGTGGACCCTTTTATTCTTATTTGATGATATCTCTGACCTAGGCTGCTTATGCTCCTCCCTTTCCCACTCCTTGCCTTCCCTTCCTCTCCCTTTCCTATCCATATAATCCTCTGAATATACCTGTCTGTGGTGACAGTGTGTGTACAGACGTTTATTTTTCATATGTTATTGCTAAGATTATGAGTTCCCACTTTTTCAATCAAAAGGCAGTGGTGGTAGCTAAAAAAAAAAAAAAAGTTAAATTGCTTAGTAACTTAACGCAGTGACAATCCCTCTCAGGCTGCAGCACCTAGATTGTGGTCCCGCGTGCTGGAAAATCTCTGTGCAGGGTGCAACAGAGTGGCATTCGCCAAAAGCACATCTGGATAGAGTACTGGATACTGAACTCTTAAGTGGTTTAAATTTAACTCCAAGTTTATAAAGTTCACACTGAAGTGAACACATTTTAGTCTAAAAACAGCTAAATTTTTACAGTAACACAGAGATACAGTCTTGCCTGTCCACGGCACTGGACTGTATCCGTCAAGGTGGGCATATCCCCAAAAGTGATTTCAGGGACTGGATTCAATAGTCATGGACTGCGGCCCAGAACCAGTATAGCACCGTGAGGCTGACTAAGTGTGTTGCACCAAGTGCCAAGGTAGGTGCCTATGCAGGATCCAGTTGTGCAAAGCAAACATTTCAGGCCATCCCTACAGTACGGGATCTGGGTACAACTGCCAGTTTTTTCAAGGTTGCAACAATCCGGATACATTGTTTCTCTGTGGTCATTAGAAGACAGTGAGGTGTTGATTGAAGATATTCAAAGAAAATAATGAATAAAAACTAGTGAGTCTGATTTCTCTGTGAAGGAGAATAGGTCCATCACCCTCAAACACTATCATAAAACACAGGATTCACAGTGAGATACGGTTATAGGGGAGGTGCCCCAGGAGATAGCGTGGCCTCAAAAACTTGCCAGTATCTAACCACCTGAAGGTTTGCACCCACAGTGAATGAATCATAAAACAAATGGTGCAGAGCTTCATGCAAACAATCATAAATTAAATTTCTTAAACAATGATTGTAACTCGTCTCTGCACAAACCAAAAAAGCAATCAAAATCACAGTTCATGATTTGCGCCTTAATATTTCAGTGTCTTCCAACTTGATGGACTGTACGACATTCAGATATCGTGCCACTAATCCTCCACCAATATGAACTCACCAGACAATAAGCTGCAGATAAACACAGCAGAGTGAACATTAATATAAATCAACTCCAAGCTCTCTATGGCAATCACCAGCAGTTTTCACTCCTCACTACCATGGGATGACCATCAGAACAGCATGGGAGCTCATATTGGTGGAGTAGTGGCACCAATGGTTATATCTGCATGTGGTACGGTCACTTCATCAATGTGGAAGGCACAGATCACAGATATGAATTTTGCTGGTTTAATTGATTTAAGTTTTTTCGTGTGCACAGAAACAAGATAGAATCAGTTTAAACACACTTATTTATAATGTTTTGCTTGTATATGATCGTTTGCATAAGGCGCTGCACCATTCGTTTTATGATTTACACTAAGTGTTTGTATATTTACCAAGTTGCTAGCTGCCTACACCTCTCAGTGCTAACTTGCTCTCGATGAATTTTCACATGGTGTATGAATGCTGCCTATGTTCTGTACTGTACGATTAAGATATGGTGTTTGTCTATGGCAAAGCACAGTGCCGATGTGGAGGTTAAATGGGAACATTCATGTTTTTCAGCTTTTTCATATTCAGAAGCCAGGAAATCCCCTGGTTGAAGAGAGGCAATAACTGACCTGGATGATTCCATGTGAACTTCCCAACTCTCAAGTATTTGTTGAGGACCTTGAGGTACAAAATTGGACACGCATCTCCGGTGGGTTTCAGGACCTTTAACAAGTTGGAGTAAAAATCTATAAACCTCTTCCCCACCAGAATGGGCACAATTACCCCAAAGTAAAGTAACTGTTGGAGGGCAGCCTGAAGAGCTTCCACTGTAGCAGGGAGGAGGGCAGGCTGGAAAAACAGGCTGAATCCAAAAGGTTTGATGTCCCAAACTAAGGCGGCCAAAAGATGCCCTTCCACTTGATGAAGTGGGGGTACCATGTTATTGTGTAGAAAGCTTAGAACTGGGTTTAGCTGGTTTGGATCAGAATGGTTTTCTTGATGCAGGCTAGAAGACGAGGCCTGTGAGGGACAAAAAAAAAAAAGTCTTTCTTCTGGGTAGAGGTTGAGGACTGACCCACAAAAGACTTAGTCCTTGATTTAATAGGCAACAGGGTGGTCTTACCCCCATGCATTTTTTGATAAAAGGAGTCTAGCTCCTCCTCATGGTGCTTGGTGCTGTGGCCCCAAAGCAGCAAGAGAAGTTTTTCTTGCCATCACTTACAAGTACCTGCCTATAACCCAGTCTCCGAATCTGCCTGTGCTCTGTACTGTATGGAACAAGAAATGTAGTTTTGCTATAATTTCTTGTAGTGGAGCAAACCCTTACCTGACAAGGCTAATTGTTTAGAAATACAATCTAGTTTAGACATGCAAAGAAAAATTGTATTGCTCTGCATTTTACAGTAATATATTTAAAATCTACCTAAAGTGGAATTAAACCTCAAACTAATCGATATATATTGTAGCTTAGATTGACGCTGCATTGTTTTCATAAGGCTTTTTTCACTCTGTTTTCACCTGGTCTTCCCATTACCATATCAAAGCCCTTTACATACAAAAAATGTTTAACCACTTAAGCTCTGGAAAATTTTACCCCCTTTGTGACCAGGCCATGTTTTTACTATCATCACTGCACTACTTTAACTGGAAATTGCATGAATATGCAACGCTGTACCCAAATGATATTCGTATAATATTTTTTCACACAAATAAAGCTTTCTTTTGGTGATATTTGAATACCATTAGCTTTTTAATTTTTGCAATAAATGAAAAAAAAGTTTGCGAATACTATACACTGTCACTGTACTAATGATACTGGCTGCGAAGGGGTTAACACTTAGAGGAAATTAAAGGGTTAACTGTGTGCCAAACAATGTGCCCTGTGTGTAGTATGTGCTGGTGATGTGCCTTTTCTTACTTCCTGCTTTGTAGGGGGGAAAACACATCGTTGGTCTGTACAGAGCGCTGTATTGTTTGTCAATGCAAAGCTCTGTTCTGTCAATGCTCAGCAGGTCTTGGCCATAAATCACTGTCCAAGAACCACTGATCGGCTTGTGCTGTAGCAAATGAAAGCACATATGGGGTGGCGTGCATGCGTCCCCTACCCGGAAATGCAGGATCACACATACATACACACACACACATATGTAGGAGAAAAAAAAAACCCACACACACACTTCACCTGCCCGCATTCTGTGAATGGGCAACTACAAGTCCTGACACAGCCTTTGTAGCTGTCGGCTTGTAGTTGTCAATGAACTACCACAGTGCTGTTGAGTGCTGTGTTAGTTCGATTCTTCCTACACACACACACACACAGGGGCACACACACACACACACACACACACACACACACACACACACACACACACACACACACACACACACACACACACACACACACACACACACACACACACACACACACACACACACACACCTGCAAGAGGTACAATGTACAAAATACAACATATCCAGCAACAGCAGCCATCAAGAAAAAGTTTACCCAGCTTTCTATAACTATTGCAAGCTTTCACCTGCTTAAAGCTTAAAATTGTTAGCAATCAAGACAAATCTTTTACAGAATGATGGTTGTTTAGGAGTTAGATGTAACATCCTCTATTTACCTGATAATTCCTTGGACAAATGTCTTATTTACATTGAGTCCTTTCAAATAATCTGTAACGAGTATCTGTAAATCACTCTCATTTTCTAGTTCTTCCACATAAAGCTCAGTAAACCTGAAATATAGAGACATTATAATGGCACAACATACCACAGAAAGTTAAACAGATGCTTTAGTAAAGTATGACAGATCTGGTATTTTTTTTTTTAAAGGATATACCCAGTGCTTCAGCATTCATTAAAGGATAAGTTCACCTTTTGTAATATGCTACACCCATACTCAGGGTGTAACATGTTACAATTGCACTGTCCCCCCACTAGCTATCACAATAACAAAAAAAAAAAAAAACACACACACACACACTTCACCCGCCTGCATTCTGTGAATGGGAAACTACAAGTCCTGACACAGCCTTTGTAGCTGTCGGCTTGTAGTTGTCAATGAACTACCACAGTGCTGTTGAGTGCTGTGTTCGATTCTTCCTGTTAGCAAAAAACTGACAGATTGCAAAAGACCTGCATGGCACTAGTGATCTTCTGATCACTTGTGCAATGCTTTCCAGGCTCCTAAAACAAAAAATAGTACATGAGCATTTACCAGGAAAAAAAAAATGTGCATTTATTTTTTGTTAAAAGGTGACTTATGCTTTAAGAATATGGATCAATACACAGGCAAGTCAAGAAACCATACAAATATAACAGTTTGCATTTCTACCAATCTCGGAGAGCTTCCTGAAGGGAAATCAGATTCTTGCTGGCAGTTGAAAACACTGCCAGCATATACTCTGCGAACTGCTGCAGCTGTCAGGTTTTTACTCTCAGTGGCCAGTGCTACTGCTGTGCACATGTAACCTCTCTACTGAGCAGTTACATGTAAACAGAGCCTCAACACTGATCCTGGGTACAGATAGTATGTGTCCAGGGTTCGCAATTTTGCTGCAGTTAATTGGCCAGTTTATAAGTGGCCACAGCACAGCGCGTTAGTGCATCTAGAGGTGGCATTCCACTGCCACTGAACACAGCTTATCTGCTGCTAAACTGCAGCATGAACATAGCCTTAGCCCTCCAGTTTCCACCTTCATTATGTCAAAAGAGTCATCACTGGAAGAGAGGAGACCACTTTTACCTAAAGCAGATTTATGATTTTTTTTTTTTTATATTGTCAGCTATTTACTAATTTGGCAATAAAGGAGAAGAATCCACATACAGAAAAGTTTCCAATGACTGCCTATCATCTTAAAGCAGCGAACACAAAGAAAACAAATTATTCTGTCTCTGAATATACAAGAGAGGAAGCACCTCACATATACATTTCTTTCTGAAATAAATATAACAAAGGAAATTTGAAGTGTTTATTAATAGTCAAACTTAAGAGGAAAAGAAAAAAAAAAATCTGCATCTGTAGCAAAAGCTGCAAAATTTCGTAGTAGTCGGTGGGAATACGAATATATTGCCTATAGATAGACTGCAATTTGGATGGTTCAGTAGGGACTGGCCAAATTTTAGATCCATGTATGGTTACTGTGGTTGTATAGCAGTCTATCTACAAAGACTTCTGTACGACCACCCTGCTGCAGCACTGTTCAGTGTATTCTTACATGGAAATCTCCCTACTGTCAGACTACAATGACACAATGGGAGGATTCCCCCCATTCACCTCGAATGTGTAGATGGAGAAATTAGGCCAGTTTTTTTTTCCAATAACTCACTGGTTGAAAGAAAAAAAAAAAAAAAAAAAAAAAAAAAAAAAAAAAAAACCAGACCCATCTATGGCCAGCTTAAGACTGCCCATACAGTATACAATCTGATTTTACAAACTCCTTTAAGTCTATTAACTTTGACGTACAATGGCCTGATGAGTGGATTAAAACTGAATAGATTGTTTAGAATTGTCCCCATATTACATGGTTTGGTAAATGTAAAAAGGAGATTGTATAGTCAAATTGTATAGCGTTTGACTTTTTTTTTTTTTTTTTTTTTTATTTTACTGTGAGAATGCCATTTACAAGAACAAAGGCTGCAACATTTGGCCAAAAAGTCAAATCAAGAAAGACAATATACAGTATATTAGTATAGCATGGGAGAGATTATATTTTTTTATTTCAGTTACTTGTATAACACCGTCAATTTACGCAGTGCTTTACATATTATACATTCACATCAGTCCCTAACCCTCAAGGGGTATACAATATAAGGTCCCTAACTTACATTCATACACATACTAGGGCCAATTTAGACAGGAACCAATTAACCTACCAGCACGTCTTTGTATGGAGTATAGAAGGAAACCGGAGTACTCGGAAGAAACCCACGCAGGCACAGGGGGAGAACATGCAAACTCCAGGCAGGTTGTCATGTTTCACATTACTATCATATTGACTGTCATATGCCTTTAAAAGTTTTCAGTGTTTTGTCTCTGCTCCTCCCTTTCCTTTAGTTTAGCTAATGTTGCATAAATAGCCCTCCCCCCTTCCCAGAGATGCATTGCAACAGCCTCATGGCAAGAAGCAGAAACAGTATGTTCTTTCGACCTATCGAATGTTTATTGTTGTAAGATTCTCTCAGTTTATGGACTAAACTTCACAAGATCTGCAAGATATTCTGATTGAGTCACTGACTGTGGACCCCAACTGAGGTTGAAGTTATCGCTATCTCATCACAACTGTAAGTTACAGAGATCACACTATCAATGCTTAGATTGGACACACAGAACACAGGTGGTGCCATGGTTGAGATTCGAACAAACGGCCTTAGTACTGCCAGACGCAAAGGGAAGAGGGGGAAGCCTCAATAAAAAGTCCAATTCAATCTAAAAGTGTTGTGGAACGTCAATTGGAGGATCATTGGTTAGGAGTCTAAGTAGATACTATGGAGTATATTAAAAGCATTGCAGTATAGTTTGCGTTTCTACTGGCAAGGTTTGAAGAATAAAAGATTCCCAAAAGTTGAAGACATTTTGAAAACTATTGCTTATGCAAGTAGGCCTCCACCCATTCTATAAGAAAAATGTAGGACAATCTAGCTATGAATAAAGACACAGTAGGGGGTTTCTGGGTAGATTGGCTTATGCAAATTAGTTTTCATGGGACAAGGGATAGGATAGTAAGAAGTTGCAGCCCCTTTTTATTTTAGTGCCCAGGAAATTTAATCGGGCCAAAAAGAACCCATTCAGACATTAGAGGCAGGTAGTTTACAAACTGTGTGGTTAGTTTTAACTGGAGTACAGTAATACCGAATTTAAATTCGTTCTGCAGGACTTTTCGTATATAGAAAAAAAGCCCTTCGGGTCTGGTATGGATTTTGAGGGGAACTCCCACGCCAAAAAAAAAAAAAAAAATGCATAACAGATCCTTATCCGTGCATGCAGCCCGGCAGGTCAGGAAAGAGAGTGAGCCCACCCTGCCCCAAAGCACCCCCCCACCCCACTCTGAGGGCATGTGGCCTGGTATGGTTCAGGAGGGTGGGGGGGCACTCACTAGCTGTCATAAGAATAATCATGGTCAATCAAACAGCACATTTACAAACAAATATAATCTTAATACCAGCAGCATGAGTATTTAGCAATATTGTAATACACATTTACCGATTTCTTATTCCAGGTGGTAGGTTTCTCTTTCCAACGTCAGTAGCAGGGTTCATGCAAGCAAATAAGCGAAAATCTGGGTGACGTACCAAGGGATCTGTTTATGCAAAATAAAGAGGATTGGTGGTTTTTAAAATCAATACAAAACACTGTATAGAACATGCGTGTTAATAAGGAGAACCTTGCATCATCGATCAATTTTAAAAATATGCTACCGCTAAATACCTTACTTAGCAGTAAAATGATATATCAGAGTTGCTACTGCTACTGTATAGTCAAACACCGTGCTCCAGGAAGTTGAAGAGATCAAGCAGTCCTACATGGTGTCTGTCCAATGGGATCCTGAGAGCGGGACATATGCAGGACCTTGCAGGCACCTTCACCCAATGCTTCCTGTGAGTCCTGGTCACAATGTTGTCCCACCAAATGGGGTACAATTGATGGAATAGAGCTGCAAATGGGTACACAACTGAAAAATGGTTTGGTAACAGTTGGCCTATATAATTCATGGCAACTGCTTTAAAAATTTGATGAAATTTGAAAATTTAAGTGAACCTGTGCACAGACTATGGACTTTTAAACACTTGACACCCATAGTCATTCAGTTCCTCACCCTTTATTTTCTTTCGGCAGCCGCACAACCCTGTAATATAAACTTGCAGCTTCTACAAATTGCTAGAAACCAAATGGCACTTTAGAGACTGCAGTAAATTGAGAAGAATTTACAGTACCAGCAGCTATGGAGGTCTATGAGGGGTTCCTTTAATGTTCTTTACATTTTCTTAAAGTAGTAAAATACTTGGCCATAGCCCAGGCACACTTTAAATGTATGAAAAGCAGATAAACAGCAGATTTTGATACGAGCTGTGGAGAAGCAAGACTTCATTTGATTGGGGAAGTGCCCTTCTAAAAACAACAGGATTGATTTACTAATGCAGGCCATAGATGGGTCGAAAATCGGCCGATTTTTCGGCCGAAAATAAAATCGGCCGATTTTCGGATCGTTAGTGGGCGATTTGGTCGGCCGTTTTTCGGTATTTTGGCCGTTTTTTTTTTCTGGTAAAGTTGGAAAAAAATCGGCCGATTTTGCCGATCGGCCGATTTTCGCGGCAATTAGTGGGCAAATCGGCCGATTTTTTACCGATAAAAAATCTGCGCATGAGCAGTGACCTGCAAGAGGAAGACAAAAAGAAGAAAAAAAAGAAGAGAAGACGAAGAAGAAGAGGATGAAGAAGAGAGATGAAGAAGAAGAGGATGAAGAAGAAGAGGATGAAGAAGAAGAAGGATGAAGAAGAAGAAGAGGATGAGAAGAAGAAGAGATGAGGAAGAAGAAGAGGATGAGGAAGAAGAAGAGGATGAGGAAGAAGAAGAGGATGAGGAAGAAGAAGAGGATGAGGAAGAAGAAGAGGATGAGGATGCAGAAGAAGAAGATGAAGAAGAAAGAAGATGATGAGGATGATGAAGAAGAAGAAGAAGAAGAAGAAGGAAGAAAGAGGATGATGAAGATGAGAGGATGAGGATGATGCAGAAGAAGAGGATGAGGATGAAGAAGAAGAAGAGGATGAGGATGATGAAGAGGATGAAGAAGAGGATGAGGATGAAGAAGAGGATGAGGATGAAGAAGAGGATGAGGATGATGAAGAAGAAGAGGATGAAGAAGAAGAAGAGGATGAGGATGAAGAAGAAGAAGAAGTAGGATGAAAATAAGAAGAATTCCAGTCCAGCAAAAAGTGTCTCTGCAGAGAGCTCCGCTATTTCTGACAGTTCTCTGACAGTTCCTTGACATTTACAGCGGTTGAAACATTGTATCTATTTGTTTCGGAATAAAAACATCTGTATCCTAAATGGAAACAAATAGATACATTGTTGCAACTTCTATAAATGTCAAGGAACTGTCAGAGAACTGTCAAAGAAATAGCAGAGCTCTCTGCAGGGACAATTTTTGCCGGCTCTAGACGGGTAGAAAATCGGCAGATTTTTTTTACCATTGATGGTAACGTCGGCCACTTGAACAACCGATTTTTCGTTTTTTAAAAGAAAAATCTGCAGTTTTTTCTCCCCATCTATGGCCTGCATAAGATGTAAACAGTACTGCTGCCTAAAAGGTATCATGGAAGTATGATCCAGCCACTGTCTTTGGCCTTCTGTATATTATGCATAGATAGAAATGCACAGTGACGTAAGGTAGTTCACTTTTCTGGACATGTTACACCCATACTAAGGGTGTAACATGTTCAGCCTCAGACCCCTCTTCCCACGATCGCCGCACCCCCTTCTTGCGGCAGCGAGCCAGGAATCTTCTCCCTGTACTCACTTCCACAATTCAAAGAATGATGTGAATCAATGAACTACAAGTACTGACACAGCCTTTGCAGCTGTTGGCTTGACATTCTCAATGAACTACCATGTGACTCTTGAGAGCTGTGGTAGTTCCATTCATTCTTTTTGTTACGTGTACAACAATTTGCTCATTTGAGCAGACTGATTACAGTGACAGTCTGCAGGAGCCCTGCATGGCACCAGTGATCTACTGAACGCTGGTGCAATGCTTTACAAGCGCTTAAACAAAAAATAATAAATGCACATTTTTACCTGAAAAAACAAAATGTGCATTTATTTTTTTGTAAAAAGGTGAACTTATCCTTTTAATAATATCCAAACCAATTTTGAAAAATATCACTAAAGGGCAAATCGTGAGGGACTTTTTTTTTTTTCCTTCTGCACTGTCCACAGGCATTTTACAAAAAGGTCTAGAACTCAAGTGGTTTAGGTCTGGTTTTTTCACATTGATGTGATTTCAGATGCAACTTGGGTCACACTGATATCATATGACAATGAAAATAACATAGCTTCCAATGGTGCTTGTTCACATCAATGCAGTGCAGCTGCAATGTAACTTTATGCACTCGGTTTGCTTTAAATCCATACCAGACTGAAGGGCCTGGTATGGATTTTGGGGGAACCCCATTTTTTTTTTCCGTTTTAATGCCAGCTCTTGTGTACATTCTGCTGTGAGTGGGGAATACCCCGCTGCTGACAGTAGGGCTGACTCATCATTAAGACAGGGGCAGGTGCCGACTCCTTAACCGATGACCCATCCTTGCTGTCATCCATTATTTATGAATCTCAGTAGTGAAATACGTTAAAAATTTATCAACGCACTACGTTGCACTGCAGCTACACTACAAAATCGCACTAAAAGTTAAAAAATAAATAAATAATCGCACTAATATACACTAAAGTGAACCTAGCCTTAAACATGTTTGGTACTTTCAACACGGTCCAGGGGGTCACTTTTGTGGTACCGTGAATGCGAATTCTATAGGGCCTCTGCTTTCTAAAATTATATAACATTCTATATAAAATTTTCTAGCCAAAAAAAAAAACTTGGCTTTGAATATCTGCAAGAAATATTAAAATTTGCCCTGGGCACAAAGTGGTTAATGGAACTCTAACTGCTACAAAGCAGTGTATAGAATCTCAAAGCAGCATTACTAGAAACTACTCCTTATGTTACTTTGCCTGTCCTCCAAAAGCTATTGTAGCCGAAATCAAACATTGTAATTGTGCACAGCATGAAAGTATGCAAGGACTCATACAATGGCAAAACCATAAATTCACTGTTACAAATATGATGACTTCCTTGAAACGGGGTATTGTTGGCAGCTTCAATCTATGCAATCCAATACAATACAGGTTTTAATGGACAAGTTCGCAATTTAAAAAAAGAAACGTCTATTAGTTTGCAGGTAAAAAAAAAAATGTGCATTTATTTCTTTTTTTGGAGCCTGTAAAGCATTGCACCAGCGATTAACAAATCGCTGGTGCCATGCAGGACTCCCGGCAGACTGAGTGTAAGCTGTCTGCTTGTACCCTGTTTGGGCAGACACTTTTACACTGATAGGGAGACTGAAAAGGATGTTGCAAAAGATGTCGTTACTTGTAGTGCATTCATTCACAGAACTCTGTTTTCAAAAAGTGACAGCTATTACAGGGAATTTCTCCCCGTACTGCTAGCAACAGGGAGAAACGGCAGCGCGCCACGGCTGCACCAGTGGGAACATGCCCCACCCTAAAAACAGGTGGAACGTGCAACACATTCCAAAAGGTGAACTTATACTATGTGCCTTTATAGGATATATGTGACTTACATATAATATTCAGATTTATCATGTTGCCCACTTCTGACAAACTGTTATATGTTAAAAATTACACTGGCATATTTGCCCAAAAAGGTTTTTCTAAGAAATCCAATTACCTGTGTCTCCTCTGTCCAGTAAAACCAGTGATCCTGATAAGCCTTCTAGTAAACCACACAAACATTCTAGAGTTTCCGCAGCTGCCAAGTTAATTTCATCCAGCAAAATCCATTCGCCTTTCTTTACAGCCTTAGCTAGGGTTCCCTAAGAATAGAGAATGTAAGCATTTTTATATACAGACATTACCAGCAATTTATGATTAACTATTCATACTTATGAATTAAAAAAAAAAAAAAAAAAAAAAATTCTTACTCAATAAGAACCTAGGATTTAGGCGGCTACTACCAAGAAAAGACAACTCCCAGTTATTCAGCAGTTCACTACAATATATGCAAATGTACGGTACACAATGAAAGCTAACTTTTATTACAATTTAACCCATTGAAGCCCACCGTACGCAAATATGCGGCCTCTTGGCGGCTGGGCCTTGAAGCTGAGCAGCCGCATATTTACGTACAATTTGAAAACACGTGCTGAGAGCGCACGTCCTGCGCTCTCCCAGCACATATGTCGATGTATCATGGAAAGGTCCCGATCTCTCCTTGCAATCAGGACTTTTTCTGATCATGTGACAGCACATCACGGCGGCCACATGACCCTAAAACCCCACCCCGCCTCCCGGCGTCTAAAACCCCTTAAAAGGGCCAGGAGTCACCAGCGTGAAGAAGTTAAAGTGGTTGTAAAGCCTGAAGGCTTTTACCTTCATGCATTCTCTGCATTAAGGTAAAAAAAAAAACCTTCACTATGAAGCTCTGAGGAAGAGGCAAGTCCTCGAAACGCATCAGCCTATTGGAGGTCTACACTCCCTATTGCGGACTGTTACTCAGCGCGGTGTTGACCCAGCCGTTCTTTATAATGTGTCTTGACTATATCATTCCCTGCACTGTGTCCGCAGTCTCTGGTCATCTCACTTGTGTCCGCAGTCTCTGGTCATCATTCTACTGCCCCTGGTGAGTACAACACCTACTTTTTTATTAAACATTTTTTATGGTAATGCACTAGGCCTGTGCGCCCTCTGTTTTTTTCTTTCCCCCTAATACTTACCTGAGCTGGATGTGCACAAGAGCAGCTGCTGTCCCAGCTCTCTGCCTCCTTATTGGTTCAGAGACAGAAGTGGGAGCCATTGGCTCCTCCTGCTGTCAAAGCCAGTGAGGAGAGAGCGGTGGGCGGGGTCGAGCCATGCACTGTTTTATGGACACACAGGGTTGACTCAGAAGTGAACATGTAGGAGCAGCTTGCTCTGCAGGGACTCGGCAGGAGAAGCAAAGAGCACTAGCAGAGGACCCAAGTAGAGGAGGACTGGGGCTGCTCTATGCAAAACCTTTGCACAGAGCAGGTAAGTATGACATGTTTGTTATTTTAAAACAATGTAAGCCTTTAATACCACTTTAAGGAAATGTAATGCTAGGGGTAAAAGCAACACCTCAAATACATTTTAAAATATGAAGTTCTAGACACACAAATCCAGTTTTCTGTATGTTCACCTTTTCAAAAATAATGCAAAAGGTGAATTAACAGCTTATACATCTGACTTAAACTTATTATAATGTCTGTATGTGTGTGTGTGCATCTGTAAGCACACGTCTGTATGTGTGTGTGTGTGCGTCTGTAAGCACACGTCTGTATGTGTGTGTGTGCGTCTGTAAGCATACATGCATGGGCGGTTTGGACAGGTTCAGTATTATGTGGTTATTATGGGTGGTAGTGTATGGGCCATGTGAGGTTATACTGGGTTGGACAGAAGGTAGGATATGCTTGGAAGAGTTATGGTTTGGCAAGTGAGAGATTAAGGGGGGTTATGGTTGTATGCAGTGCATGGTGTAAGTATGAGAGTGTTTAGGGGGGACATTGGGGGCCCATTTCATGAGATAGTTTACAAGGCAAGTAACTCTTAAGGACTGGCTAGTAACTCAGGAGTTTAAATTTTGACACCTGCTCTAAATATCTTACTCCTGCAGTGCTGTTGTGTCGTCACCTGAACTTGACCTGTTCTTTGGAATTTGCAGGGACAGATCTTTGAGAGGGGCTTATTACTGCTGAAGTATGCTCTCTACAGTATGAGTGTTAATCAAAAAACTGTTTTACGGCTCCCAATAAATCTTTATTGAACATTAAATATATTTTAGTTTTTTTTGGTTTTTTTAATATTTAAAAAAAAAAAAATATATATATATATATACACATATATATATATATATATATATATACACACACACACACACACACACACACACACACATATATATATATATATATATATATATATATATACACACATATATATATATACACACACATATATATATATATATATATATATATATATATACACACACACACACACACACACACAGGAGTAGACTGCCCAACAAACCACAAATACGTAAAGTAATATCACCTTTCAACAAAGACCATGTCATACAAAAACAGCCCTTGGGAATAATTCCCAGACTAATTACAGAAAATTGTCAGACCAATAACCGTTCTTGTTGAAATACAAAACCTAGTTAAAAAAAACCTAAATGTCCAGTAATAATGCAAGTCTCTGAGTCTCTTAAAGTAAAGAGATAAAATGAAAGAAAAAAAAAAAAAAAATAAAAGGTGTATTTTTTGTACTTTAAAATGGTGTAGGCAGATTCAAAGAGGATTGTCACTAGCTTTCATTATGTTCAGACTGCATCTGCACCCAAGGCTTTTTTTTTTTTTTTTTTTTTAACTTTACATGTATTAACAATTAGCAAACATTTGATATATTTATCACTGATTTATATTAAAACTACGCTTCTGTGTGAGTTTCTTAGTGAATATAATCAATCAGTATATTATATCACACCCCAATAGTGTTTAGCAATAGGAGGACGGAGGGAGTGGAGTGTCATTTACCACTATGAATACGCCAACACGTGTGACTCTATACCAGGGGTGTCAAACTGGCGGCCCTCCAGCACTTGTGAAATTACAAGTCCCATCATGCCTCTGCCTTTGGGAGTTATGCTTGTAACTGTCAATCTTGTAATGCCTCATGGGACGTGTAGTTTGGCAACAGATGGAGGGCCACCAGTTTGACAGCCGTGCTCTATACTAATGCAGGCTGCACAGATGAGGGAAAAAAAAAAAAAAAAAGGAGGAAAAGAGCACAGAAGGAAGTGAAACTGGAGCATGCTCAGTAGATGGCAAGAGATGGTCTGCACAATCTCAGGCTGCAGTGAGGACACAGGGAAGATGAGAGGGACAGCTGAAGGCAGGATCAACCAGGTATACGGTATATCACTCTGGCTTTGTGATTATGTACATTCTGTTAAATAACATGCAATGATAGTTTTTAATAGCCTGGGTTTAAGGACACTAGCCGCTTACCCACCCTGTATAGCAGATATACTGCTACACGGTGGCATGGGTGCGCAAAATCACGTATATATACGTGATTTCGCATTTCCGGTTAAGAGGTGCGCACGAGCCGCGTGGTCTACCTGCACCACCATTCACGGCCGCGGATGTCAATCACTGGGTCCCAGCCAGTGATTACCCACCGGTGCCCGTTGATCACAGACAATCACCAACTGGGAAGAAGACTGTTTTGTTTACAAACAGTCTGCCTCCCTGTCACCTCAGGCACACACTGATAAGTGTGTTTACAGTGAAGCACACCCCCCCCCCCCCCCGCCCCCTAGTAAAAAAAAACTCCCTACACACAGTTAACTCTTTGATTGCCCCTCACATTAACCCCTTCCTGCCCAGTGTCATTAGTACAGTGTCAGCACTGATCACTGTATTGGTGTCACTGGGGATGTCAGTGACACCAAGTTAGTTTCTCCCCCCCCCCCCCCCCCTCCCCCGTGTCAGAATGCCCGCTGCAGTCCCATAAAAGTCGCTGATTCCCCGCCATTACTAGTAGGAAAGAAAAAAAATCCCAGTATCTATACCTCCATTTGTAAATGCTATAACTTTCATGTAAACCAATTAATTTACACGTAATGGGATTATTTTTTAGCAAAGACATATCGTAGAATACATTTTGGCCTTAATTTATGACGAAATTTAATTTTTCTAAATTTTTACTGGACATGTTTAATAGCAAAAAGTCCAAAATATTGTTTGTTTTTTTCTCAAAATTGTCAGTCTTTTTTTGCTTATAATACAAAAAATAAAACCGCACAGGCGATCAAATACCACCAAAAGAAAGCTCAATTCGTGGTGAAAAAAAAAGATGTAAATTTAATCTGGGTGTGGCGTTGCGTTGGTTAAAGTAACGCAGAGCCATAAATCCTGGTCAGGAGGGGGTAAATCCTCTGCGGGCAAGCGGTAATTCCAAGGTAGACGGAAGATGGCAGACCCAGCTTCAGCAATTTATCAAATAAAAAGTGAATAATTGTGTTAAAAGACCAAGCTGTAATCACACAGCATTCTTACAATTTCCTGGGCCCTCAAGATAACTTAAAACCATATGCAAAAGTTCTGAAAAGAAGACATACAGAGCTTCGAGATCCGAAATGGGAAGGACTTTTTCTTTTGAGTTTGGCAATGGTGAACATGTTTGAATAACACCCCTGAAACAGTTGTGACACCACCTGGTCACAAAGACCCAAGACAGCTTTGAAGAGATCTATGATGACAAAGGCAGATTAGAGGTGAGAAACAAAGGAAGGAGGGGCTGGAAGTGAAACTCCAGTTTGCAGCCCTGGGATAGCACTTACTGCACTAAGAATCTGGGCTTCAAGAGCCATGCCGATAAAGGCAGTAAAAATGCTGCAAAATTAGATTAAACCACTACTTCACAAGACTTCATGACTTCGCAACTTCATGCCAAGGAAGACTGGCATGAGGATTGGAAGATAGAGTGCTAAATCAGCATGGGTAGATTCTCTAGTTTCTGGCTGGTGAACACTGCATCAATAGTAACTGAAACAGTCTCCTTTAATTTGGTAGTAATAGCAGCAGGTTGCAACTCCTCAAAGTTAAGCGTATCAATCAATGACAGGAGTGACTCGGAATGAAACAGGGTCTTTGGAGTTGTTTGGAAGCCACTAAGGCAGCAGGCAAATAAGATACAGAATCTGCAGGAGAAAGCATGGGAGAGCAGGCTTTTGGCCTCTGATGAGAGTCAGCAAATAATTGGGTCATTTGGGCCATAAAGTCTTGCATAATTGTAGTAAAGACCTCAAGAGGTCCCAACCACACCCAACAGAGCTAAGAAGGCAGAACACATTAAGGGCAGAGGATAACAATAATCCAGGGTGCAGAGGTCAGCACAGTCAATAGGGGCACTGCAAGTAATAGACACCCTTGGACAGTAGCACTGTCAATCTGAGGGGAGGGTCATGTTAGATGCACTACAGATATAGATAGACTTGACTAATAAATTAAAGCCAAATTCTAAGCAGTTACGTAAATGGTTTCTTCCTTTTGGAATAAAGGTTTTACAGAAAAGAATAAAAGCCAAACACTGTATGCTCCCCCTCAGGGTTAAACAGATTGTCTTAGGCCTGTCACATTAGGACTAGCAGCTGAGACCATGCAGCTGTTGTGTCCCTAGACGACTTTAACGGGTTGCCTGTACACAGCACCTGGAAGATAATGTGCTACAAAAAACGTCCTGTTCCTAAAATATGGGCATGATCATCCTTTACATTAAAACACACCAAATTAATGCGCACTGAAGAGTGTTCATGCTTACTGTAAATTGCATGCCAGTTAACATTTAAAACAAGAAAACATACCTCTACAAATGCAAACAGTACAGCATTTTCGGTCATCCTCATTTGCTGCTGGGCTTGATTTAGACGTAGAGAGAATGTGTCCCATTGTTTTTTCAGCAAGAACTCTAAAACAAAAGAAAATATTGTTCAAATTTTGAGATTTAAAAATCAGTTACCACAGATTTTAGTACGATGTAATCCAAAGTTTTAACCTATTCTTAAGGTAACCACCACTAAAACAATGGTCAAATTTATATTGTTTATTTTTGCAGCACATGTTATTCAACAAAAATGCTTTAAAATGGATATTTAACCAGAAAGCCACAAACTATGAAATGTAATCATCATAAGATACCATCAATTAACGCGGAGAACACTGGAGGACAGTGCAGGAGATCAAGTGCAGGATATGCCTTATTACACAAAAAGTCAAAAAATAAATAAAAATGCCCCCCAAAGTATTTACAAGAGTCACACATTCAAAGATTTACCACTTTCCCATTCACATTAAAAAAATAACCACCCCTAGCTGGTTGCCTAACGTAGTTCCATGGCTGTGTCCTTGTCTGGTGTTGATATCTTATGCAATGAAAAACTCCCTACTGCTGGTTGCACCTACACACAAGGTCCCCGTTTACACAAATGGAGCCATTTAACTAGCCATTTGAAACTAATTCCTAGCTATTCAATTAAATAGGGACACAGTGCACAGGTCTAGCCAAGTACTGAATAAGTTTTCATCAAAGACTGTAAACACTGGAGCAGGCCACAGCTCTGGAACGAAGTTACAGTAGCCTTACCTGCAGGATTTAATTTTGCTAAATCACCATGTTAACCACTTGCACTCCTGAGGATTTACTCCCCCTAATGACCAGGCCCTTTTTTGCTACTCGGCGCTGCACTAATTCAACTGATAATTGCGCAGTCATGCAATGCTGCACCCAAACGAAATTTACGTCCTTTTTTTTCACACAAATAGAGCTTTCTTTCGGTGGTATTTGATCACCTGTGCGCATTTTATTTTTTCACGCTATAAACAAAAAAAGAACGAAAATTCAGCTATAAAAAAACTATATAGCAAACTCAAAGTTAGTTATAAATGTAGGCCAAAATGTATTCTGCTACATGTTTTTGTTTAAAAAAAATCCCAATAAGTGTATATTGATTGCTTTGTGTGAAAGTTATATCATCTACAAACTATGGTATAGATAATGGAATTTACACAGCTTTTACTTTTTGACTGCTTATCACATTTCTTGAGGTGCTAAAATACCAGGATAGTACAAACACCCTCAAATGACCCCTTATTGGAAATTAGACACCCTAGCTATCTGCTGAGAGGCATATTGAGTCCATGTAAGATTTATTTATTTTTTTCCTCAGGTTTCTGGAAAAATGCCAAAACTTTTTTTTTTTTTTTTTTTTACACAAAGTTGTCATTTAAATGATTTATTTCTCGCACAAGCCATGGGTATATGTGGAATTACACCCCAAAATACATTTTGCTACTTCTACTGAGTATGGGGATACCACATGTGTAAGACTTTTTGGGAGCCTAGCCACATACAGGAGCCTGAAATCCAATGACCACTTTGAAAGCCCGAGGGTGCGTAACTTCCTCATTACACTTCCTCAATACCCATCACAGTTTTGAAGGCCCTGACATGCCAGGATAGCACCAACCCCCCCAAATGACCCCTTTCTGGAAAGTAGACACCCCAAGGAATTTAAAAAGAGGCATGTTGAGTATTTTGCAGATCTCATTTTTTCTCACAAGGTTTTGAAATATAAAAAAAAAGAATAGAAAAAATAGTTTGTTTTTTTTCTTCATATTCCAAAAGCTTGTGGCAACAAATGAGATCTGCAAAATACTTACCATGCTTATCAAATTCCTTGGGGTGTGTTTCCAAAAAAGGGGTCATTTGGGGGGGTTAGGTGCTATCCTGGCATTTCAGGGCCTCCAAAACGGTGATAAGTAGTCTGGAAGTGTAATGAGGAAATAAAGTCCTTTAAAAGCCTGAAGGTGCTTATTGGATTTTGGGGTCCTGTACTTGGCTAGACTGCCAAAACGTCTCTCACGTGTTACCCCCATACTCAGGAGAAGTAGCAGAATGTATTTTGGGGAGTAATTCCACATATAACCATGGCATGTGAGCAGTAAATCATTTAAAGTGACAATTTGTGTAAAAAAAATTTTTTCTTTTGTCATTTTCCAAAAATTTGTGGTAAAAAAATAAATTCTTCTATTGATTCAACATGCCTCTCAGCAAATAGTTTGGGGTGTCTACAGTCCAAAAAGGGATCGTTTTGGGGGGTGGGGGCATTCTATGCCCAGCATTAGAAGTTTATGCCACACATCATTCACTCTTCTAACCACCTGAAGACCAAGCCTTTTCTGACACTTTGTTCACATGAAAAAAATCTATTTTTTGCTAGGAAATTAATTTAAACCCCCAAAACATTATATATATTTTTTTTAAAGCAGACACCCTAGTGAATAAAATGGTGCATACTACAATTTTTTATGGCACATAGTACTCGCGCAGCGATTTTTCAAAAGCAATTTAAAAAAAAAAAAACACACTTTTTTTTTACTTTTAATGCACAAAAACACAATATATTGGCCAATTATTTGGTAATATATAAAAGATGATGGTATGCCGAGTAAATAGATACCGAACATGAAATGCTTTAAAACTGTGCATGCCCCGTGCAATGGCGACAAATTGCATACATTTTTAATATCCATAGGCAACACTTTAAAAGCCTTTAAAAAGTTATTTTGATTTTTTTTATCACTTTTAATGCTATCACAGGGAAGGCAAATATCCCCTATAACTTCATTTTATTGGCATATATTCTTTTTTGAGAAATCTGGGGTCTATCAGACTCTAGATATCTCCTCTGCCCTTACATTATCTAATCAAACCAAGATCGGTGTGATCAGATGCTTTCCCAATTTACAAATGGTGCTGTTTATATCCTGTGAAACTAAAGTGATGAAATGCTCGTAGCTTCCGAATTCTTAGACTATAGAGATGATTGGTACCACTCTGGTCTCCAATCAGCTCTATGGTAAGCTGGCAGAAACACCGGCTGCATTCTCAGGTTCCCCCAATGGCACGGGACTGCCCGAGAAGGCCGTGGAAGGCAGCGGGGGAGAGGGGGCATCATATCCCGCTGCTTGTAAATGCAATCCTGCAGCTAATTAGCCACTAGGATTGCTTTTACATGAAAGCTGATCGCTGGCTGAAAAATACCATACCAGGATGATGCCTGCAGCTGTAGTCCAGTGATGTACCAGTACATTGCTGATATTGCGGGTATATATGCCATGTTCTTTTTTTTGTATGCAGCCTGTGGACTGAATGAAAAAAAAAAAAAAAAAATCTCTGCTAGAAAAAGTGTGTGGTATGCCCACCATTAGAATATACAGTACCACCCTGCATTCACCACTTCTAATGGTGGGCACACATTAGGTCACACTTTGCCACATGCGCCAGTTCCAAGATTGTACAAATGTCTAAATAGTGGCACGCTTGAATAAAAATTGTCCACGTATAAGTGGTACCCCATATGGAAAAAGGATGACACCAAGTCCCAAACTATCTTGCCACTGCTCCCCATGTAGTCTGGGCATCCGGGGGGCTTCACGTGACTATCTTTTCCCTTGTAAATCCAAAACATAAGTATAGCTGGTTGTCCTCTCACAGGTCTTCTACATCTTGACCCCATATCTGGCACGCTTGCTGGGGAGAAAATTGTTTGAATGCAAGGCGGCCAGAAAAAATTAATGAGGGATTTAATGCAGATGTTTTGCTGGGGAGTATAGACATCTGCAAATTTTTGGTTAAGGTGATTTCCGAGGAGCTGAATTTGGTGGAGCCAATCAAATGCAGGGTCACCCCGAGGATGACAGAGTGTATTGTCGTTGAAATGCATAAAACACATACTCTCATATCTATGCGTGGCCAAGGCAGCAGAGAACACGGGTGTATGATGAATCGGGTCTGCGGACCAATACAACCGCAATTCATTTCTTTTAGTAATGCCCATGTTGAGGGTTAGGCCAAGAAAATGTAAATTCGTAAACCGTAATGAGTTTCCATGCGACAGGTTTGGCAAGGTTTGAATTTGGGTTGGCGGCGATAAATTGTTGTGCATATAAAATTGCTTTGATCCACAATCAATGCATACAGATATTCTGTGAAAAACAGCTCCAACAATCAAGGGGAGTAGTTAAATTTGCTATTTCCACCTGAATTCTGGGTTGGGCAGTGAATGGGCGAAGTACAGGTGCAGTAGAATTTGTGGAATGTCAAATCAGGATTTGCAAGCACATCCGGAAGGATACTAGGGGCTCTACAGGCCTGTGTGCGAATTCTTGGTGGTTACAGGACAGTACTTGTGCTTGCCACCGCACCGGCTTGTACTGGACTTCTGGGACTCGCCACGTCACCAAGTCATACTGCAGTGCTGGTATTATTATACAGGATTTATGTAGCGCCAACAGTTTGCTCAGCGCTTTACAGTATAACGGGAGACAATACAGCAACAATATAGTTCAATACAAGAGGGTTAGGAGGGCCATGATCCTGGGAGCTTACAATCTAAGAGATATGTGAAAGACCAAGATGTACTAGACCGCTTGTGCTCTCCAGTTCACCAAAAGGTAGCGCGGCACTAGTACTGGCACTCTGCTGAATATGAGAGTCATCAAAATTTACCAGCAAGTGCTAACAGGGATCAGGCCTGATTATGCCAACACTGCGGTTTTGTGTGCAATGTATCAAGTGACAGTGACCTACTGGCACTGCACTAGCTGGGTGAGAAAGGGGGGGGGGGGGGGGGGTAAGCGTAGGGGCTAAACGCAGGTGTTGGCAAGTGCCAGGGCTGATCCCGCTAATGCTGCGTTTTGGGGAAGCTATACTAATGCTGGTATAGTGCTGATCTGAGCAAAGATATTGATCCGTTCAGACACTATACTAGCAATGGAGGTTTATTGTGCATGAGCGTGTTCCTGGCAATCAAGGGGTTAAATGTGATGACTGGTGTACTGACGGGCAATCTGATGCTATCTGGGAGGGGCGTGAAAACCATGGGAGCGCAAATCATATCATATCAT